TTTTTTTTTTTTTTAATTTTTATCATATTATTATGTTTAGGACATACAAGAAGAGCTTGTCCTGAGAACGTAATGGATTAATAAAGGAGAATGTTAATAAAATTATAAAAGTTAAGTAACAATTATTTTTCAATTCGATTTGACTATTTTCTGAATTTTATGATAAAATTGATCCGATTTTGCTTCCTTCTTTTTCCTTTCAATTTTTTTCCTATCCTATTTTTCAATAAATATCATTATTGTCATATTTAAGAATTTAATAATATTATCATTATTGTCATTATTATTATTATTATATATTATATATATAAAACATTTTTTATTAATAGTTTTTATTAACAATAATTTAATTAAATCCAAAATTTAATATGACATGAAAAAAGAATGAATCATGATCTTGTATCTTCATATCAAGTATCTTCGTCTCTGCTTTTATCATATGGTAACATCTGTTTCAATTCGTTTAGTTGTTCCTTCTGCGAATGACATTCTGCTGTTGTTTGTGTTAACTGTGAAAAAAAATAAAAAAAAAAAAAAATTAAAAAAAGACTGTAATTTTGATACAAAAAAAAAGAAAAAATANNAAATAAACACGGCGTTAAATGATTTATTAGATGTTACATATTTTGAGAAAAATAAGATAATAACCATATCAAGAAGTACTTCAAATTTTAATTTCAATAAATTATTTTCATCTTCCAATCTCTTTATTTCCTTTTTTAATTTTTCATTTTCTTTATATGTGCCTCCGATTTTGCCTGATTCTGAAATTGTGTAAATTTCTTATATTAATATAATTTCTTATATGATATTAACAAAATAATATAAAAATGTCAATGCAAAACTTGCCTGGAATCCATGAACCAGATTCGAAAACAGTTTCTTGATCTCCCAATTTTAAACGTATAGGACCAATATTAGGACCGAGTTCTTTTTCTATACGTTTTGGACTGAAATTCTTGTTCGCTAAAAAAACTCCCACTTTTCTTGTAGGAGTCTTTTTAGGAGAAAACTTGTTCGAAAACAATGGCATTGCGTATAATATATACCGATAATATACTGTCAACGATACGTATACGATTGCGTATAAACGCTAAGGTTAATAAACATCAAAACATATATATATATATATATACATATATATATATGTATATATATATATATTTAATAACGCGAACGTGAAATTAAACTTTTTATTGTTTTATATATATTATTACATGTTTAAATATACGTGCGCGCGCGCGCGCGCATATGCATTATACAATCTTATATACTTATATACTTTTCAAATGTATCGTATCAAAAAATTTAAAGTATGCTAATTCTATTCGTAAAATAATAGAAATAAAACGAAATAAAAAAAATAGTGAATAATATATATTTTGATAATTATGCTTAATAATTATAATAATAAGATATTATCTTATTTAATAGAATCATTATCGTGATTATAATGTTATTATTCGTATTTTTTTCTATATCTTTTGGACGTGACGTACGAACGTACAAAGAACGTACATACCTTATATATAAAATAAATACGTAGTAAAGTATATATATATATATGTATATATGTACTTATGTATACAATATGTTGTACTACTATGTTGAAAACTTTTTTGTTTACATCGTTCTTATGCTTGACAGTTGAATCGGTGTAAGGTTGTCTGTTACAAGGTTTTTTCTACATTTATTTTTGTGCAATATCTATTCTTGATATGTTATAATATAATGATTTAGATTGAAATAATTAATGGAATTTTGTATATATAATTCGTTAATTTATTTAAATAGATATTCGTCGATTAAAAAAAGGCGTGGTGACAGTATTGATTTATAACCTATAAATTGTTCATCAATTGTGCACATCATGACTTGGCTTGGAACAATCGCTAGTAATGTCCTTCGGATGGTATACACGGATGTACCACCGAGTATAGTCCAAGAGGTTAAGCCTGAGAATTATAGTAATCGACATATTGAATGTCGCGAAGATGGTATCGTACTTTATGGTCCAGGAGAAAAAAATGAAAAAAAATATGAAATTGTTCTTCATAGACCTTGTACGGAAACATTGCATCAAGCATATAGGTAAGTAGATATCTTCGCATATTCGTATATCTTTGTTATTATATTTTTATATGTGTGATAATAAAATTTATTAATACAATGTTTTCAGTTTGTACAGATCGGAAGAAAAGAAGGAAACCGAAATACATTTTCTCGTGTATAAAGACAAGGTTCCGGTACTTGTTCAAATTTGTCGCGAGGTAATTTTTCTTTTGGTGAAGATTTTAAGAATTTTTGTTGTATCTATATATATACGGATAGAAATTATGATTATTATATTATAATTTATATTATAATATATATTATAATATTATATAATTATATTATAATTAGCATTGTTTTTATCATACAGATGTGTAATGTGAATAAGATACAAAAGTTGTGCGATACTTTAATGGAACATCCTACGTGGACTCTGGCACATTTGGCAGCTCACTTTGCTCTCTACAATGCATTTGCTCATGCAGATGTGAATAGTCAGTTAAATAGCGGAGATGTGGAAACAGGTGTATCTCCTTTACAAGTTGCGGTGCAAACGAATAATCTACGTACGGTCCAAATGTTGATAGAAGCTAAAAGTTCATTGGAACATTTGGATTTTAACGCGAATACCGTGTATCATTATGCAGCCACATCCACTAAAGAAATAATTTTAGCCCTTGGAGGTGATCTTCCCAATAGTTTAAACAGTCGTAACAGTAATGGGCATACGCCGATGCATGTCGCGTGTTTAAACAACAAGCCTGAATGCGTTAAAGCTCTTCTTTTAATCGGAGCAGATGTGAACATACCTGCTTCCGAGGGTCAACCTTCGAGCCCCGGTTACGTGGGAGATTTTCTTCACAGTCAACCAAATGTTCTTCATGCCGAAGATATGAGATTTGGTGGCACGCCGTTGCACTGGTCGCTAAGCAGAGAGGTGATTAACGCCCTGATAGAAAGTAATTGCGATATAGATGCTTTGAATTTCGATGGCCGTACGGCGTTGCACATTATGGCGATGAGAAAACGATTACCATGCGTGGTGGCTCTATTGAGTCACATGTGTTCTGTGAATATCGTCGACAAGGATGGTAACACTCCATTGCATTTGGCAGTTTCTGAAGGTACAGCGGCCATTGTGCAAACTCTGATAGGATTCGGAGCGGATATCGATGCTAGAAATTGGAAGTCGGAAACGCCACGACATCGCATAAATATCGATAACAACGAGGGTCAAAAGATTTTGTATATTCTAGATGCGGTGGGAGCCCAACGTTGTCCACCGGATATGATTAATTGTAACCTGGGCTGCAAGTATAACGAAAACTTTAACGGTATTGCACCGCAACAACCGCCAAAAGCTATACCGCGTACTATATTGGATCAAATGCTTCATGTTTCCGGGATGGATAAAATGGCTACGCAAGAAAACAAGAAGATAAAAGGTGGTCGACTTCTTTGTTTGGATGGGGGAGGGATTCGCGGTTTGGTTCTCGTGCAAACATTGTTGGAGATCGAATCGATCTTGAAGAAACCTATCATCGAATGTTTCGATTGGATCGCGGGCACTTCGACCGGTGGAATCTTAGCCCTTGGTTTGGCAGCCGGCAAGTCTTTGCGAGAATGTCAAGCGTTGTATTTTCGTATAAAAGAGGAAGCTTTCGTTGGTATGCGTCCATATAATAGCGAAGGTTTAGAGAAAGTATTGAAAGATAGTCTGGGCGCTAATACCGTGATGTCGGATATCGAGAAGCCCAAGATAATGATTACCAGTGTGTTAGCTGACAAAAAACCCGTCGACTTGTATTTGTTTCGCAATTACGATGCACCGAGTGCTTTACTTGAAATTCCAGAGAATTCGACATCTGCTTCTCCCGTGCCACCGAATGAACAATTGCTTTGGCATGCTGCGAGAGCAACCGGGGCGGCTCCATCGTATTTTCGAGCATTCGGTAAATTTCTCGACGGTGGTTTAATAGCGAATAATCCGACTTTGGACGCTATAACTGAAATTCACGAATACAATCTCGCTTTAAAGGCCTCTGGACGCGAACAAGAAGTAATCCCCCTGTCTTTGGTTGTTTCTCTTGGCACTGGTTTGATACCTACCAGTCCATTGAAAGATATCGACATATTTCTTCCCGAAAGTTTATGGTCTACCGCAAAGTTTGCGATGGGAATATCGGTTCTCGCGGTATTGCTGGTGGATCAAGCAACCGCGAGCGATGGAAGGATCGTTGATCGCGCAAGGAATTGGTGCTCTATGATCGGCGTACCTTATTACAGATTTAATCCGCAACTATCTCAGGATATAAACATGGATGAGAAAAGCGACGAAATTTTGGCCGACATGATATGGACCACTAAAGCGTTTATGCACGCCAATAGAGATCAAATAAAAGAATTAGCCGCTGTGATAAATCGCGATGTTTACAACGACGTATAATATCGCGTTTGAATCAGATATGTAGGTATGATTGCATCCATTCGAGAGATGGCATCTTTTATCCTTATTCTTTTTCTCCCTCTCCCTCTCCCTCTCCCTCTCCCTCTCCGCGCCTTCTCTTTATTTCTTTTTCTTCGGAATTATTGATTGATATTTTGTACATACGTTGATTCGTTGTTGATTATTTATTTTCGTGATTAAGAATTATTGAAAAAAAAAATTGTACGTTAAAGCGAACTTTTGTTTATCGAACTGTGTGAGGTTCGTCGTCGAGAAGATATAGCGCACAATTTGATTTTATTTTTTGTTTTTTGTTTTTTCTTCTCTCTCTAATAGAATATTTATTTATAAAAATACTTACTTTTAGGTTTCATGATATATATGTATAAAAACGTACGAGCGTATTCTCGTTTCGAAGAATACGATGAAGGATAATTTGTATCATGCGATGGTTGCGATGATGTATAATAAAAAGAGATAAATATATAGTAAATTATAATATTAATCAAACTAGATAGAGGAAATGATTGTTGATTGTCGAAGTAGATGTATTAACGGAATAATCGTTTATTTATTTGGTTGTTTAAAGTTTATTGTCAAAGAATAAATAGGAAAGAAAGAAAGAAAGAAAGAAAGAAAGAAAGAAAGAAAGAAAGTAAACATTGCTAAGCGGTTTCAACCGACTATCAACGGCCCGGACAACGGGCTATCCATTCCCGATGTTAGTTCCAGATTTATCGTGGGCCCATGTAATAAGGTGGTTGCGTCATGGATGCGGAAATATACGGATAAAAAGAATGGGTCGAGACTCCCTGCGTTTGATATTCATTTTCTTCGTGCACCGTGTATCCCTCGGGAGCGGAGTAATGGCCATGTACGCACGCGTACGATTTACTCGGGCTGGTAACGTCAGCGGGATATTTTAAGGGATTCTCGGGATATTTTGGTAGATCGTAAGGTTTCGTTTGCAATTCCGAATATTTTGGAATCGCTTCGTGATACTTGACGGCGGCGGCGGCGGATACCTCGTGATGATATTTGACCGTCTCGTAGCACTTTGCGTCCACGTAGCAACTCTTGGCCATGTTCGATTCGTATCTCCCACCCTCGTACGATTTACTTTCTACGATCGAATGATCGGCCGGATATTTGCTCGTGTCGTTCGACCAACTTGATGATCTCGAAACGTCGTAATTGATTTTGTTGTCGTGATAAGTCGGCCTCTCGTACATTTTGATGCCTGTATCTGTATATAGACGAGGATAAGCGCATTCGGACGAGTTGGTAGAATCTAGAGACGTGGCGGGGGAGGATAAGGCGGTCCGATGCATCACGATGCCCATTTGCTCCTCCGATTTTGGTTTCCGTCGACGCGGTTGATACTGTAATTGCCATTTGATCGTGATTTAGATTAATCGAAGCGAATCAAGTAATCGGAACGATCGATTTTTTTTTTTTTTTTTTTTTTT